TCATTGAGCTTGTCTATGGTCATTGAGAGGGAGTAAACGATCGGTGTCAAAACAACCGACCGAAGTAGCTAACTGAATTTACCATAGACATGGACATGTCTATGGAACTTAGTTTAAAACAATTTAATTGTTTTATTAACAAAGAAAAACGGTAATAACGTTGAATTTATTTATTATCTACATTTGAGCAAAGATTCTTCCTTATTTAGATATATTCCAGTAACATACTTTAGAGTAGTGGGGGAAAAAATATAAGTATTTGAATAGTAAACAATCAGTGCGCCTGCTCAATAATCAGGTGGATGTTATTGTGAAGTGCGGATGTTATTAAACAACTATGTGAGTTTATTAAACATTATTTATTTATTTTTAGAATATATATGTACTTACATTTTTATTATTGTTGTTAATTTCACACATTATTATCTCTTTAACTTTCTACCTTCGTTAAGTTATCTAATGGAGGCTTAGGTTTACTAGACTTGCGATGACCACTGTGACCTTTCTTATCATCTTCTGGATCAATTACACGTAATGCCTCTTCAAATGAATCAAACAATGCCTTGAGTAAATTAGAATAATATTTGTTTATTATTCTACCAAAGCTCTTGGTCGTTTTATAAGAAAGAAGTACAAAATTTTCTATTTCGACCCTCAACTTGGTAATATTTTTCAGCCAGTACAAGGCAAATCTGCTTATAAATTCGAAGAAAAATTTGTCTCTCAATTTAATCACGTCCTGTATACCTTCCCAGGGATTTAGTTGATGATCTTGTTCTTCATCATTTATTGCTTAATAAATACAAATATTAAAATAATTAATATTTCGTATAAATTTTCATACCTTTTTTAATATCTGCAGACACCAACAATAGAGGCATTAGTAAAGGTAATAACAAAATTGTGCTTTTCATTGTAATTTTTTTGGAGTTTAGTTTTTCTTTCGCGTGTTACCACATCTCTAAGTATTTTAGCTCGTTACGAAATTTAGAAAATAAAAAAATTGAGTAAGTACGTGACAATTTTTGATTTCGTTTATCTCACGTTTTGCAATTGTTCTAGACTATTATAGCATTCATTTGTTTGCTTGTTTATTGGTTGTAATTATGAATAAATTCAAAATTGTTTATTTGTTTAAAAGTTTACGTTACAAATGTAAGGTTCGGTTTGGTTTTGTTGAATAATGTGAGGTTATGTTGCTCTGTAGTACATCAGAGGAATGATAGATGGAATTAATGTAGGTTTCCGTAGGCACAGTTCAAAAATACCAAATTATTTATAAATTATT